ACTGGGAAACCATTGGAGTAGATAAAGAGACAGCTTGCTTTTCTGTTACTGAGCAGTAACCCAAGTCAAAAGAGAGGAGCCCTGGCTACTTAAAATAAAATAAAATCACTTGTAGAGAAAAAAAAAGGGAAAATGTGAAGGAAGCATTCTATCCAGTTGAAATGAATAAACATTCTGGGCAGTGAATGAGGTATTCACATAATGGCAAAACATTCATTTCGAAATTCAAACCTATTACTATTTAAGAGAGCTGTTTTTTTAAAAAAAACTAATCAGGCTACCTTAAGATAAATTCTTACTGTTCTACATTAATTCACATACCTAAATCACATACATTTATGCTGTGTTCCTTCAAGTCATTTTCACTTATGACAAACCTAAGGTGAACCTTTGATGGATGGCTCTTGGCATGTGTTCATAGGGGATTTACCTTTGTCTTCCTATGAGGTTGAGAGGGTGTACTTGGCAAAGGTCACTCAGAAGGTTTCTATGGCTAAAAAAGGATTCAAACACAGGACTCCAGAGTTGGAATCCAACACTCAAACTGTTATACCATGCTTGCTCCCAAATATACCTTTTCATAAAGCAAACCAATACAATAAGAGCCATGCTGCCTAGACAATTTCAGCATTATGTTGGCCCAGTAACCAACGAAAAGTCCATAAGCAATACTTGAATGGAAGAATAGCTTCATGTCTATATTCCTCAGCAATTGGTATTCAGATGAATGCTGCATCTGATCCTGCAACTAATATACAATCGAGCTGACCAGTTATCTTTGATAGCATCATGTTTCATAAATCTGAATAACTCTCACTTAGGGCCATCCAAGATGATGGTCAGCATTGAAACATGTAGTAATGAATACCATAGATAACTAAATTTTATACGAAATACATCCTTAATCTCCCACCACTCAGAATCATTGAGTGGCCCTGGTTTCCAGCAGTACTGTATAACCTCTGTATCTGTGGAACTGGTGTCTTTGGTTTCATTTATCCACATCTGACAAAATATGTCCTCTGTAGGCATTTTCTAGATTTTCCAGAGCAAATCTATGTATATTATTCTTGGGCCAGACGTTCTTACTTCCAGTAGGCTTCATTATTATCCATAGTTTCATATATCCACCTGAAATCTGGGAAAGTATCCCCTGTGCACATTGGGGCTATTTCATATAATAGAGGTAGCCAGTGAATCCATTGCTGTGGATGTGTGGGATCTATCCTTAGTTTCCAAAGCTGTTTCAGGTGATAGGAGAGCTGCCCCAGTGCTAAACCTCTATTGTGAATAGGACCTAGGCAAATTCCTATGCAACTCAGAGTAGTTGTGAGAAGAGCCACCATAAAATTATGTATCGATTCACTGTTCCCATGGCTGCAGCTCCACCAGTCTCCCATAGATAGAAGTCCAGCTGTATCTCCTGCCCAATTTCTCTAAATCCATGCATAATCCACTTGTGTCTTTATGTGCTCACTCTCCCAAACTGAGGCACCTTGAACATAGTCATCTCATCAAGAAATTCCTTTGTATGGCTTTCAGTGAGCTATGACTCTCAAGAGTTTTCTTTTATCCGACTCACTCATCATGTCTGCATATAATCCTACCAAACCTTAAAAGCATATCCCCCATTACAGAAATCATCCAGCTCTCTTATATTAACACTCAGAGGAATGAAGCTACAGTAAAGGAAAGTTGACAACTCCACCTCCTTCAGGAAGGACGGGATATAAATGTCTGAAATCAATAAACTCTTAAAGAAGTCTTAGAAGATGTTAACCATTATGATGAATTTGGCCAGTTACCCAAGAGGTCTGCTAATCTGAGCAAGCCTTGTTATGATTTTATCTCTCTGTATGCCATCTCATTACACACTGGTGGCAAAGGAGAGATTCTCCTTTGCTCTCTATATCCCCCCTCAAGGAAACCTGTCAAAGCAACTACCCTGCAAATTGTGTTCATTTATCATGTGTTCTTCTAATAGTGACCAAAATTCATTTTTGTCAAGCAGAGCTTTTATCTATATTTCACCTTCGAATTAAAAGGGAAAAGAAATTGAAGCACTCAAAGAATGTTGTCCACAGCTCCATTGGCATTGTGCAGTCCTGGATCATGTTAGTTTTTTGTTTCTTTAGTATTTGGAAAAGTAAAGTAGATGTCAGATGTGACTTTAAAAAAAATGTGACAATTGTATGAAGATGATAAAACCACCTAATAATGATTCACATTCCTTTGTCTATCTGGATTTGGAGATTTTGGGCTTGACTAACATCAAACTGAGTAACATATAAACCCAAGTCTCAGTGGTAAGAATAGACGTATTGTTCAGTTTTGATTTCTCCTTCATTTTTCAAATCTTTTTTTTCTTCCATTTGTAAAAAATGGAAAAGGTTGGTAAGTTATTTTAAAATGCATCTGACTAATTATACTCTTTATGCATGTTTGTCCATGAAAGTTCACATGCTAATAAACCTGTTATTTTCAAAGGCTTCACACAATTTGGTGTTCATCATCATAGGCATCACTCATTGCCAAGTATGATTGTCTTCCAAGGGGAAAGTCTTGGCAGTGTGTTCATAAGTGACTGTAGAGCTCTATTCCGTATGGTCTGTCACAATGAGATTTCAAGATGGAGAGTGGTCCCAATCAGGGTTTGTTTGACATACCTTTCTCTTGGCAGGTTTCTCACTTTCACCCTTGAGGGCCAGGGCTTCCTAGTTCTCAGTATTTATTCCACATTTTTAAAGGTTACCTTTAAGTGGTTTGGGGCACATCCAGACAACCCTTTTAAAATGGGAGTTTCCACATTTTAAAGTGGGGCGCCCAAATGATGTCCCACAGAAAAATGAATTCATTCACCACAAACAAGGAAAACCCTGGTTTGTCGCAAATTAATTTGTTAGTTCATTTATTCAACACCTTCTTGGAAGGCATGGGGCAACCCCACTATTTCCGCTGTCTGGACCGCTCCCTCAAAAATTCTGGATATTTGAGGGGGCAGTCCAGACAGTAGTCCTATGTTTTTCTGATCTAAATTAGCTTGGGAAACGGTCATGACACCAAACCCCTCCCCACCCCCACCCCCAAACTCCTTTGAAAAATAAAAGAACTTCCCTGGCCTCCATTAATATGGTGCCAGAACTCTCCTGGTGCATAGGAATCATGCAACAGGAAAAAGGGGGGAGGAGGGAAACAGCTCCTCCCCTTTCTTCTTCTGGCACATCATATCTATGCACCAGGAGGGCTCCAGCACAACACTAATGAAGGCTAGGTAAGTCCTTTTATTTTTAAAAGGGATTGGGGGGGGGAGGGATTAGGGTGTTGGGTATTCTCCCAGAAGCTTCCGGGAGCACATCTAGACACCAAGCCGCAAAATCACTGACTTTTGTGGTTGGTGTGCAAACTACAATTTGCCCCGACCTGGATTTTTTAAACCCATGTTGAAGCAGAATTTACTGATATGTGGAACTGCCCTTGGTGTACAAAATACAGATGAAACTAGAGTGTGTGCTTACTACATGTTTTACTGAGGTACGTCCCAAGTGATGATGGATAACTGTCATACCAGGTCATTTTTTAAACAATTTCTCCTATACTTGGTGTGTTTTTCTTGGTGGATGGCTATTGGGAGGTTAAAATTAAGCACAGGCTTAATTTTCAAATCTGACTGCTGAAGACATGTATGAAAAAGGTCTCATTGTAAGATGAAAAGCAGCTTTATCTCATGGAATATGCATTCCATTTAATGTCTAGTTTCACTGTGACACAGCTACCCCTTTGAAAATTCAATTGAAATTCTCATACATTCCTGCTTCACAGCACTGGCCCATTTTCCAGACCCTTTTTTCAATGGCCCTATAGTGGAAGATGCCTGGATTTCAATATGGGGGTGGATGTGTTCTGAATGTAAAGCATGGGCTCAACCACTTCACCTTCTGAAGTGCAACTGAGATGCAAAGCTTGAGAAGTTGCCCATTATGGCAATATAATAACTTGTTCAGGCAATTCTTTGCTGAGATGTGCCAAGGTGTTGCTTGAGGTCTCATTTAGAGTCAGCACATTCATTCTTTTCACAGTAACTTCACAAGCTCTATATCTATGTTATAAAAGCTGGAAGCCATTCCATAGTTAAGTATCTTAAAAGAGATATTGAACCATTGAACTTAAATGTTGCCTACTTTGTCTTTATTTGTATAAAGTATCCTTCATAACCAGAAGAACAAACATTTGTGATTGCAACCTTCAGGAAAATAGAGTGGGACTTGTGGAATGCTGTGGGAGTTTGTTACCAAGTAAGCATATATGAGGCAGAGCATCTGTAGTTCATCTGTAGTTACAGATGCTGACAGTCTTCCTTTGCTATACTTGTACCCCACTTTTCTTCAGGAATTGAGACAAAGGCACAGTAAGATATGGAGAAAAGTGGGATCTAAGGGCACTAAAGAACTGACATTGATTAACATAGTGTTCTATCTCTAGAACCCAAAAGGTTCAGTCTATAAGTACAAAGGTGAAGGTAACAGGTAGACAAGACGGAACTAATTAATAGTGGCTGGAGAGCTTTTTCTCAAAGTAAAGCTTAAAATGGGTTTTCTTTTCAAATGGGGTAGGACTGTGTTGAAGAAAGAAGAGGAAAATACAAGAAACATAGTGAGGTGTAGGAGAGGAAATAAAACTGGAGACCAACAGTGTTGCAGTCAGAATCAGGGAGGTAGAAAGCAACACCATCTGTCTCATTGGACATCTGCTGTGTTAGTTCTCAATTAAAAAAAGAATCTTACCTCATTATTTAGAAAAATACAGAGTGGTGACATAATCTGTATCCAAGCTTGAGTACAAAAGAGAAACTTACATCATCATTTTAAAAAATTGGTTGGGGGTTATGTGTCTCTGAAGATCTTGGATGACTGCCTGCGGATGCAAACCTGGAAAGCAATATCGATGAGGACATACTTGAACAAGTTTGATTAATTCAAATGGGCTCTTTGTTTCCTTTGCAGACCACAGATGACATCCTGGTGGCCTCGGCCGAATGCCCCAGTGATGATGAGGACATTGATCCCTGTGAGCCGAGCTCAGGTGGGTTAGGTTAGTCAACTTTTTATATTACTTTCTTTTCATTTTGGTTCTTTGCATGCGGCGGTGGCAAAAAAAAAAAAAAAGCACTCTCTCTCAGCCAGCATTCTTGCAGCAGGGCCAAAAATTTATTCCAGCTCTAATGCCTCCAAACTGGAACTCTCAGTTATGGGCCCTCCATTCTGAGTATACAAAGCATATTGAAAGTACCCTCTATGATTTTAATATGTTTCTGTAAAAATCAATTTTCCAAACAGACTAGAAATGTCATTGGCATGAGTTAGAGGATGGTGTTGGCCACAAGTTATTAATTGCATTATTTTTGTTTTCTTATGTTATTGCTTGCATTGTTGTTGTTGTTGTTGTTTTACTGCCTCTTGGCCTGCTAGAACCATCTAAAGTAGCATATATCCAGTTTGCTTGGAAGAGTACCTTCATATATAAAATCAAATGTTGTGTGGGGGTAGAAATTTTTGAGCAGCTGCTACATTGGGGGGGGGGGGGATGTTGGACTTCCTGCCAGATTTGGCTCCAAGGAAGGGAGAGTAAACCTGTACCCCATCATGTGATTCTTCCCTTCAACTCCCATTCATAAGGTGGGGTGGGTGGGATAGCATATATTCTTATTTCACTTTTAGCTTGAAAATATAGCATTTGAAACCTGAGATTTCATGTATGTATCTCTAGAATGTATCTTCCATTGATATGGGGATCATACTATACATTTCCTGATCTAAGATCTTAGTTCTTAATCTTCAGAATCTTCAAAGACATAAGATGGCTTACATGTTAAGCTTTTATCTTTTAGTGCTTTTTATCTTCAGCCAAGGAAATTATGAAAAATAAGGTGCATTAATAGGAGTTTTCATTTTGTAATTTTTACAATTTTTTTCATAATAATGATGGCTGAACATTTTGTTCAATTGCCAGGTTTTATTATACAGAACACAGAGAGTCAGACCATTGTTCTATCTAGCTTGGTGATGTCTGACTGGCAGTGACTCACCTGGTTTTTAGGCAGAGAACATCTTTCCCTTCAACTACACAAGTGACTTTACAAAAAGTATCATTGGCACCTTCCTCTTTTTTTGGACCGGCCAAGTCCAATTTACCAGGACCTGTTGGGCTTTTGAATTAACAAGACTTGCTATAAAACCACAAGAGCTGGCAATACAGAAGAGCTTTCACATCCTGGTGCCTTGGCTCTTCTGATGTATTATAGCAACTTGGCTTTTTACAGACCTCACTCTGGTTGCACCATCTGCTTCTGTCCAGACTTTATCACATCTGTTGCAGGGGAGCTGCCATTACTTTAGCCATAATTCTGAATTTCAGGCAGTGCTTGAAATTATTTGTTTGAAATTTAACACAAGGCCCACATTCTACACTATTGTATATGGAACCCTGTACATTTAAAGTCACACAAAGAAAACAACTCCAACAGTCTTAATACTTGGGGTAGAGCCTAATAAGGTGGAATAATTGCATACAACCACTACATACCCATTTTTTTCCGTGTCTTTGGAGCAAAGCTGAAAGGCGAAGAAACTGAAACATGCTCCTCAGTAATGCACCAAAGGCACCACATCCCCAAGAAATTTTACCCTCCATTTTTGGGCATCCCAAAATTGTTCAAAAGCTATAACCCCCCCCCCCCCCCCCCCCCCAATTGGTTGGAATTTGGTTGAAATAGAAGCTGACTTCCATTTCAGCCATTGTTTTCTATTGTTAACTTATGTGGGGGAGCTTGAGGGTAGGTGTTTTGCTGTAGTTTTGAGCTTTTTCATAATGGTTAAAAAATAACCTGGGAAAATGTGTTTAATGGTTGGTGGGGGCTTTTAGAGGCTTCTGGATCACATTTTGGTGCCCCAAAGCATGCAGTCCACAGGTCACAGTTCAGCCCCATTGCTGTGAAACAAAACAAGAATCAGTATTGACCCAAATGGTTCACTGATTCAAAGGAAGGGAGGGAAGGTATGAGCAGGAAAAGAGAGAAAGACTATAAAGTGTTAAATGTGTCATAACTAATGCAGACAAGCTGCATTAAATTTTAATATGAAAACCATCTTGCCCTTAATAGACTTTAGTGCTGCAAATCTCCTGAGATTCACAGCACTTTGTTTATAGAAACAAAAACAGAGCCATTCTTCCATCAATTGGTGGAATACAACCTTATCTAAAACTTTTAAAGACTTAAACCAGCAAACGAATGGCATTAAGGGTAGGATATTGCCAGTTATGTCCATTTTCTGGGAAGTTTCATCCTTTCTTTTGACTGAAGTGAAAGAGGATTAATCTATATCTGTTGCAGAACAATCCTATACTTCCTGCTGGTTTGAGAGCTTTCTGGGAGAATGGAAAGCATTTGAGATTGAATTTACTTCTCGACACAGTGGAAGTTCCACAAGGAAGGGAGAAACTCAAAGCACCTCTCTTCTCTTCCCACTCTCAGGGTCCTTCCACACAGTCCTGTTTCCCACAAGATCAATGCAGAAAATCACACAATATCTGCTTTGAACTGGGTTATCTGAGTCCACATTCAGATAATGTGGGATTTTCTGCCTTGATGCTCTGCGATATAGGGCTGTGTGGAAGGGCACTGAGAGAACAAAAATAGTATATGGTCCTTGGAGCAGTCTTTGGATTGGGGCCAAACTGTACCATTCCATTGAGACATAACACACAATTATAAAAATGCTAAATAGTTGGGATGCCAATCTTTGCTCGTTTCATTCTTGCATAAAATAATGAAGAATTTCAAATTGTTCATAATAAACCTTTTATATATACCACTCTTCCTCCTCCAAACAAAAACTCATATGTTCCAGCTGGGTGATCATGAGAGTGTCTACATATTGTGCAAAAATGTTGTCTGTTTTGTGAATGTACTATTTGTGCAAAGCTTGTTGTTTGTTTTTTTTACAAAGAACAGAATTTTTCATGCAAAAGCAATGTTTTTGTGATGTTTTTGTGAAAAGATTGAAATGAATCTATGTTTTCAGTATGTTGTCTTTATGTGTACAGGTAACAATTTCTAATTGAGGATGAGAAGATTTACAATTATTCTTTATATCCCTATCAAATAGATTAGATGCATGTAAAAATAATCATGTGTAAAAAAATAAGTAGTACCTTTGGTCATAAAAGTATAAAAGCCACACAGATATGCACATGCTGCATGTATCATTGTAATATTTAATATCAATAGATGATCATTCTGTTTACCCCTTTTAGAATTACACTATGTGAATCCTTCTGGAAATGATATGTGAACTCAGAAAAAAATAGTAATGTCCATGTGGAATCAATATCCAATCATTTCCTTGGGTTTTAAGTGACATCCTAATTTCATTCTTCCTTCTTCATCTGAAACACTGGCTTCATCTGTCTTTCGTTGTTTTAAGGACTTCCATCTCTCATTTATTTACCAACGGCAGCATAAAAAGTATCTCCCTACTAAACCTAATTTTTCCTGCAGAAAAGAAGAAAGATTAGAGAAAAAGAAGTAGGGTTTTGTTCAGAAGGATTGTGAACATCACTTGAGGTTCTCCAGACAAATTCACTAGACTAATTTTTCTATTCATTTCCTAAGAATATTGCTCAGTTCTATGTGTATATCTTGAAGCATGTCAATTTGAGATACTCCCAAGTGTAGAAGAAGATATACCCACATCTTCCAAGCTGATAATGCTAGAATGTATGTAGGACTGGGCATGAGGACCACTTTATCAGTCTATCTTCATGCAGGATGAGAGATCCAAGGTACAACACATCATATTATCAGGGCTACATCAACAAATTCTGTCATTACCCAATATAGCGGTTGCTGGCTGTGTTTCATGGAAATGGCTGGAAAAGAGAAAAACCTTCTGGTCACTATTGAATCACCTACTTTAGTGCAATTCTACAATCTTTATTTTTGGTACTGAACTTGTGTGATGAGACTGTAACTGCCAAGTAGCATACAAAGATAGCTGTTTTTTTTTCATTACAATTCAGAGCAATTCAGACACTAAAAGCTAGCAGTAGAAATGAATTGTCAAACAGTACTAAAATCACTTACAGTCTGTGCTAGAAGGCTTGGACATTTGTTTTATAAAGGACTGATATCCTCTGACAGCAGGCCATCATCCCTGGAGAGTGTGTTCCATGTACAAACACATTCAGTATGTTGACTGAGGCCTTCTTCTCATGTCTAATTTCAGGAGTTAGAGAGATGGAAAAGATTACATCAGATGGGTAACATTAAATTAACAGCAGTCTTGACTATTTGATGTTATGGCATTTAGATGATTAAGAGAGATACCAGCACTTTGTGAAATAAGACCAAAAAGACAGAACAACTGTTTCAAATGCTAAAGTATATTTGCAAGATTTTGGTCAGTTGCATTTAGCTGCATTTCACACTAACAATAGTAGATTCACATATAACATATTGCCATAGTCTTGCAGTAACTGAAGCTGACCTCACAGGCAGACCATTTCTCTCCAGAAGGAATTGTGTGCCTGGATGTCATAAATTGTGGCCTGATCAAGACCACCATACCAAAACACATATAAGGCCAATTACAATGAGTCAAAGCTTTTGGCACAAGGATAGATTTTTTTAAGCTTCATGAATGTTAGCGGGTATTTACAACACAGAAAACCCACTTCACTTGCACCAATAATTAGATTCCACTAGGTGTGTGCAAAGCTTCATAGTTCCATTTCATAATTCGGAAATGTGTATGATTCGTAACTACGAATTTCCGAATTACTAATCAGAAAGAGATCTCTCTGAAGTATTAAGAATTGAAACCAAAACCTCGGAAAGTTTTGGAGAGATTAATAAAGATTTGTTGTTTCAGATCTGTTTTTTTTCCACTGGGTTGCTGTGGGTTTTCCAGGCTGTATGGCCATGTTCCAGAAGTATTCTCTCCTGACGTTTCACCCACATCTATGGCAGGCATTTTTCAATTTAACATATTCCATCCATAATTGTCTGGGATGGGAGGGGTGGGAGCTGATGT